AGACTTTGCTGTCTCTGGTGATCTTGTACTGGACAGGGAGTTCAGGGAAGCTGAGCTGAGAGAAATGGAGTCAGTTGTTTGGAAACATGACGACTAAGTGCTTGGGCAGAAATACTTTGCTGGGCAATGTATTTTTGTTTGATCTGGATTCATGATTGAAAAAAGTTTAATACTACTTGAAATGCTTCCCTGACTAACCACTGCATCCTAAAGTCCAGCATATTAGCTAGAATTCCGGTGCTGGCATCTCAGTGAGGTAAGCAGATCCAATGCCCTTTGTTCTTCCAGATGGATTTATCCAACTTTACAGGTGACCTCACGATTACAAATAATGCCTCGCTGTGTCTAAGCATACAAACAGAAAGGTCATTGTATCCAATTACTATAAACAGATGTTAAACCGTATCCCATGAGCAGTTTAAGGTGACAGGACAAACAACAGTGTTAATATGTTTCTGTATTTAAGATAATAAATCATTCTGTGCTAAACTCTCTGACCCAAGTAAAAAGTATGACTGAAACGTTCACACCATCCTGTAAGTGCGCGGGTCCACAAGCGTCTCTAGTAGCATGGGCTTTTTATATACTTTGCCAGCTTACACAAACCTAATACAATTCTGATTTCCAAAATGGATGCCCAGTTTAACCTTGTTATGTATATCCAATATGAAAGATGCCACAGATGCAGGTTTTACCTTCTCTCAAAAACCTGGAAAAGAGGTCAGCGTGTAAATGTACAGAAAGAGAAAAACATGATCAAATAAGCCAACGTCTTGCATATCTAGTCCCCGGTCTTGCAATCCTTAATTAATTCTAGTAAAGGTAGTACCTTCAATATGACTGAAAATACGAAGCGCACAGCTCACCCCTATCATGCGTCCCCACAATCCACATTCGGTGCACGGATGGCTCTCTTCTGTAGTAATACTGTGGAACCAGCACACGATAATCTTCCAAAGAAATTCAAACTTTATTCCACATGCATCCGTACAAAGCACAACCACTGGCGCGTTTCTGCCTTACTCGGCCTTATAGCAGATATACAGATGTGCTTTGTACAGATGCATGTAGAATAAAGTTTGAATTTCTTTGGAAGATTATCGTGTGCTGGTTCCACAGTTTTTGTACCTTCAATATGCTGCTTTTCTCAAAAGTAGGGGAAGTTATGCACTGGGTAGGGTTTTAAAGTGTATTTCCACTATTGCAGTCAAATATGAGAAACCCCATTATATGTTTGTTATGTGTTCCCATTCACACATACATCATGCCTGAAAATCATGTTTTTTAAATATGTTTTCCCTTTCTAGCGGTTTGTTTGGAGTAGGATCATACATAGGACACTACAGTCAGCGTCTATTGCTTAGAATAGATGCCAGTAAGCAGATAAGAGGAAAGATTGAGGGACAGAGTTATAAACGTTCACTAACATACAATGACTACAGGCCTTTACCCCTTTGTTAAGCTGCCCATACACTGTAATATTTTCCTCATTTAACCCGTGGGCTGAACAAAGAAAATCTTACAGATTCCTCCATTAAGGCTTACTGGCATTGATCGAGGAATCTCCTGCTATTTGCATTGTATTCTGATGACGGCCAGACAGTGCAGCTCATCTTGTTTACAAGCAATAATAACATCTGCCAGCACAGTACAGACAGAGTTGATTATGGCAAACTGCCATTTTTATTTTAAGTTATACTATGACAATATGTATATGGAGCAAATATAAATGAGGTGTTTTCCCAACTTTGATGCAAAAGTGACATCACGTTTATCACTCCCACCTTGTGATGTCACACACACGTGGGGGGTCATCAGACCTCAGGGACATGTACTGTATAACGGGGCAGCAGCAACAATAAAGTATCTACTTCTAATCCACCACTGACCATGTTTATTTTAACAGTCACATTGACATTCTGTATTTCTACTTGCTACATTTTCTTAAAGTTTAGTAACAAAGTCTGAGAAGCGTTTTTACACACACATTAGCGCTAGACATCATACCTTCACTTAAACTGTGATATCTGTTACATTTCTTTTTTTGTAAATTAGTTTGAGTAGAAAACCTACATTTCCTAGATATCTATTACATATTTACATGCTTCAATTGTAGACAAATGATGTTATGGACAGCAATACAGTTGTCCAGCAGTGTGAAGGACATGGCTTTCCCCATAGACTTTGCTTAAGTACATGATTTTAAAGAGAACTAGTCACACTCACTCCTACTTATTATTGTGCAGGTTTACTAGCCTTACCTAACACAAAGTGCATATAACAGTCAAATAATGGGGCCCTGTAGTTAAGAGGAATGTAAACAACTACAAGGCTCTGGTAATTGCTGCTACTACACGCTGCTACTACACACTTACGCAGCTGGGGGATACTGTGTAAGCTGAGGCAATGGAGAGGACAGCAACCTTAAAGGTGCCCATACACTTTACAACCCTCGCAAGACTTTTGTCTTGCGAGGGTTGTAAAGCAATTTAAAAAACGTACGATCTGCCCATCTCGGACAGGCAGATCGTAATTGCGATCATCACAATGCGATGACTGCAATGCTGAACGGGCAGTGTGCGGGTGCGCACACCGGCCCGTTCGGCAGTTATCTCTCGATCATGCTAAAAACCAGCCGAAAATCGTACGATTCTCGGCTGGTTTTCCAACATGCTCGAAATACAAAAGGTCCAGAGCAGGTAAAAAAAAACTGCAGCAGGCCCTATTTTACCTGCTCTGGATCTGAAAACGCATGCAAATGCCTGGAACGCACTGAAAGCCCATGTTAAACTAGCCTAAAAGACTAGCGTGCGTGTGCAGAAACCTGACCGGATCTGCTCTGCATTTGGTGTGAACAAGGCCTTAGACATCAGGAAATCTCTGCTCCCTGACACTTGAGTGGAATCACACAAACTAAGTGATGCAAAATAAGAGGACAATACAGACCTTTTAAAGAGAACTACTGTATAGCCAAATCTTTTTTTTTTTTTTTGCTTTAGTCCTCTTTTAGGCCACAGGTGTTCATTACTAATGTCCTCCTATGACCCATACTAAGCATATGGCAGGCTACTGCCCACTATTTGCTAATCGTGCAGGGCCGTGCTGCAGCCGGGAAAGATCCTGACAATATTGTCCGGGATCCACCCTGCTGCCTGATTGACAGCTGAGTCTGCCTCTCTAGAGCCAGAGCCAGCAATGCCCACCCCCTTCCCAGTCTGTCCTTCCAATGAGTGCTGTAGGAACAGAGAGCGAGGAGGGAAGAATCCCTGTGGGGACGGTGACTGACAGTCACCACTCTCTGCACAAAGAACCTGTGAGCTGAGTGATCAACGGTTGGTGATTGCTCAGTTCTCAATTTATAGAGAAGACACGTGACACCTGCAATGTCACATGCTGCCTTCAAAGTTAAACGTTACCCATATCTTTAAAATAACAACAAACACACCTTTAGAAATGTTTAGTAACAACATTCTAGACACATACTTCTAGATAATTGCCGGCTTTGTACTCTTTGCATACCCTACTTCTCTTTTACTCCCCAGTCTTCTCACAGTGGTTACTAAGGGCAGGTTACTAGATCTCCATTTACTTCCTGGACCTCGTGCACATGTGACCATGCACATCATCTCAGGAGAGGAAAATACCTTTTCCTGAGATCTCGTGAGATTACAGATGAGATTTCCCAGCAATGCTCTGCTGATGTAACCTTCCCAGGATGCAACGCTTGGACACTGTACATCCTTTGTGCCAGAGCTGGACCAGGAAGTAGATGAACTCTATTTGTAAGTAAATGACAAACAAGTTTGTTTAGCTAATGAATGTAAGATGGTTTTAAATCGGCATGCAGAGCTGCATGCTGATGTGATTTTTAGTGAAAAGGGGTAAAGGTCCATTTTAATTATTGGGGGGAGTACATGTTACTCTCCCAACATTTCTCCTTTAATCAGTAAACCTGCACAACTATAATAATATGATATTATGTAATATTGTCGTTAAAGCATATCTAAACTCGAGAACAAAAATATAATACATTGCAGATTACCAGTCCACAGATGTGGTGGCTGCATTAGTTTTCTTTTTTAGTCTAAACATTTTTAGAAGGTAGAGAAAAAAACCTGTTCCTCTTGCCAGAAATATAATGCCATTGTCACTAGATAGGAGTCAGCCGTCCGTCCGTTTTTTTCTTAACGGGCGGATGGCAAGAGGTTAAATGAAACCACAAAAAACTAAACTACTAGTCTACTAGTCTCAACTTAATGAAGATGAACAAAGGCGGACATGTTTAAAAGCCTGTGTGACAACCATGGCTGCTCCCATAGATATAATGTAGACATGAAATTGTTATATGCAGGGTTACTAAATGGAAAAAAAGGGGGGGGGGGGGATAATAATTCCCCACATCTAAGGACTGGTAAACATCAATATATTACATTTAGTTTTTTAATTTTAGAAAGACTGATAACAAAATAAAAGAGAAAAGATAGTAATGTGTTCTTTAAAAGAAGCTTTTAAATTTCCGTGCACTCTCTTATGGTGATATCCAGTAACCCACAAAAAGCAAAAAACACAAAACATCTTGTAAAAGTGACAGTCAAGACAAGATCTACACTGATTCATACCCATTTTGCGTATAATGGCTAAAATGAAAGCCAGGGAGCAAATACTGATTTATGTCTACAATCATATTTGCCTTTTGGAAAGTGTACAAAAAAAGTCTTTGGCACCTTTGCAGCTCAACAGTTCACCGAATCAATTGTCAAGTTGAGGAATGTTTGCCAGCGCTGCCACTGCAAACCTATACTTGCTGCTTAGCATGTCAGTTATCAGCACTGGGTGGAATCATACAACATGTATGTGGAAATACAAAACTGCAGTTTCTTAGTCAACAGATTGCCACCATCCTTAAGAGTAAGCCACCGGAGATTAGCATCTGCAGCACACTCTCCAGTGCCTTGGACCCCACCGCAATGCTTTAAAAGCTTTCTAAATGGAGGCTCTCGGTGTCCATCACCCAAGCAAATATCACACCGTCATCCGTGCTTAAAGATCTTCATGAACAGACAAAGGTGCTGAAAACAATTGAGAAAACAGTTACATTATTATATCGTGAAAGGCAATTCTAATAAAAACCTTTGCCTAGAAACTCTTTCACCAACATCCATTCAGTGGGATGAAGCAATAGCTTCTTTGCTATCTGCAGACTTTGTTTTTTTTATTCTGCCAGTTGCAATCGTCAGAATAATAAAAAAAAAAGGCATAAGTAAGAATGCATAGATAGATTCCTATTGACTATTTCACTTTGCAATAGCAACTAGCTATTGCACCCGCCCTCTGCTGTTTTCAATCACCAGAAGAGGACCTGATAGAAAAATTCAGGTCCCCCTCTGCTGATTGACAGCAGCAGTGGGCGGGTACATTACCTAGTTTGCTATTGGCTATTGCAAAGTGCAATAGCCAATAGGAATCTAGCTATGCAATCGTATGCCTTTTTTTTCTTTTCTGACGGTCAGGCCGCGGCTCCCGATGTCAGAAAAGAAAAAAAAAAAAGAAACGATCGCAGGGAAAGGTTTAATCTGCTCGATTGAGCAGATTAAACCTTTCCCGTAAAAAGTGTTTCTCTCACGGGCGGCCGGGAGAATTGGAATGTGTACTCGCCGGCCCAAGCGGCTCCATCGGCTCCAAGCCGGTTTGTTGTTAGACCGATCCCTGGAGCTTCCCTCCTTCACTCTAATGTATCGGTCCTGTAAGTCATCACGTCCAATACACTGCATTGGACATGAGGATGGCTAAGGACATTCCCTCGCTGGAGTGGAGGAGGAGGCAAGCTGAAGGGACCAGTCTAGGAGTCAGCCAGCTCCGTGGTTTAGGTGAGTATTTCTTTTTTTTTTTATTCCTAGATAAAAACAAGCACTTAAAGTGACATTAAACCCTCAGATTTTTTAACATAAACCAATATTGTAATGTGTGCCTTACTGTAATCCATGGTAGTTTCCCTTCTCTTTGCTGCTCTTCCTTTTAAATCCTTATCTCTTCTCATGCTGGGCAGAACTTCTGTTTTGCAGCAGACTGCCTTGTCTCAGGAATGGCTACACGTTGTCTGTGTATCCGTTTGTATAGGCTTGTAACCTGAGCCAGCACTACAGGAAGAGGCCCTGAGCTGAAAAGGGAAGTTCTCCCCCAGCATGAGAAGACATGAGGATTTAAAAGGAAGAGCAGCAAAGAGAAGGGAAACAACCATGGATTACAGTAAGGCACACATTACAGTATTGGTTTATGTTAAAAAATCTGAGGGTTTAATGTCACTTTAACCTTTGCAGTGTGGTGTTAGCCACGCTGCAAGGATTAGGAAATTTGTGCCCAAACTTCTTTAAATATTTGCCGGATGACAATTTTCCAGCATTATAAACACAGCAACTGCACACAGAGTAGGAGCAACATAGGGCATATTAGGGTGAATCAGAGCTTGGCACTACAAATTGCATCCCTGTGTAGAGGGAGTGTTCGTCAGTCTGGCTTTTTTAACATTCTTCTTTTAACAGTGGTGTCTGTCCTGAGTCTTCTTCCTTTGAGCTCACTATTGCTCATAACGATCAGACACTGATGTACTTTGACCTTGGAGATTAGCTTGTCTCTTTGGAAGCCTCTTTGTCTCCCATTCACACTATCCTTCTGTTCAATCTGGAATCCATTTGTATTTGTAACTGTATTCATAGGAACATCAAACTTTTTAGCCTTTACTTTTGACATGCTGGTTTATAATATTTTTTTCTGATCGCCCCAGACAACTGGTTCAGCCCACGTGATGATACCAAACAGTGATGAACACTAATTACAAAATGACATTATGAACAGTATGAAATAGCACTATGATCTATTTATAATCTTTTCTAGGGGTGCCCACACATCTGTCCATGCCGTTTATATCATTGTACAAGAATATAATAAAAGCAATAATGTATCTCTTTTCACGCTTTTATTGCTTTACTCTATGACATACCAAAGGCATACACATGAGAGAATTGCTTTTAGTGTCACCCCTTTTCAGGAGGAATGAAGCATTATTTCAATGAGCTGTTTGTCCTCTTCTGTATATGTGAAGTTCTTGCTCCTGAAAGTGTCTAGATTACATGGGAAGTCATTCACATTAGCTGCTTTACTGTCCTACCTTACAGATTTTCCACATGTGCAGGGCATGGCTGACTATGCCTGTACTGCATGATGTACACTGTAGATTGGTGCCACCAGTACAGCATTACCACTGCTAGTATGTGCCAGAGCTGATGGCTTGAGCCGATGTAGTTTAACTGACCTAAAGAAAAAAGACCATGCAGATGTAATATTTCCATGACAAAGTTGTATCTAATAAAAATGATCTCAGTAGCTATTCAATAAAGTAAAACATTTTGGGTGGGAAAGGATTACTGCAGCCCGGAACTCCATTAGAGCTTTTCCCTTACTCACTGTCCAGGGGACAACCATTTCACCAGAAAGGAAGTGAAGGAAACTCTTTAACAGCAACACAGACAGAAGTAAAACATTTTTTTTTAAGTTTTTGTACGTTAAGTAGGGAAATGTTACAATCCCTTGGACCTTATTGTTGTCTGTGTCCTTGTTGCAGATTTTTCCTTCACTTCCTGTCTGGTAAACATTGTCCCCACAAAAGAAAGTAAGGGAAAATCTATGTAACGGAACCCCCAGACAACAATAAAAACCTCACACAGGTTTTAACTCTACCCCACTCTAAACCAAACTAAAATTCAATATAAATACATTCTTGACATACAAATTTAGTATATCCAGTCTCTGCTCAGTGTCTGGCTCTGTTTCACCCAGAATTCTTTATAGAGTTTAAATTAAATCACAGACATCATCAGCAACATCTCGAATCAAAAGTTTCTTGTGTGATAAATACGGAATGCTGTTCATTTCCATGACATTGTACAAAGTTTCTTATTACAACACTAGGATTGATCATGTGGTTATAGCAGGCAAACCCTCTCGCGTAACACGCACTTTCACTGAGTGCAATTGCATGACCTACTTAAGTATCAAGTAAAAATTTAGAGTGAATTTTGCTTAACCCTGTCACTGCCACAACCGTTTTTGCTATTTATTTTGCACATTTTAACATGCACATTTCAGGCCTGAAAACCAACTAAAGCCCACCAAAATTATATATTTTCTGAGTTTCAATTTTTTATGTCACACAATATAAACTCAACAGTTTAGCAAATCCAAACTTCTGGAAAAAATGCATTCTATTTTATTTTAGTGCAGAAAAAAAATGCTATAAAATACCCACAACCGCCCGAATCACTTCTACATGAAAGCCGACAGTGAGCTGCTTAAGTGGGAAATGTAAAAGTGTGATTTTTGTTGTGGAAGGTTTATAATGTAAAAGTGCACTTATCTTTTAACTGCTTGCAATATACGAGGATGAGTCAATTATTATCCGCACTCCGTTTATAATAAAACCTCTGTTGGCTGCCGTACTGTCTAATCAGCGCTTTCCGTTCAAGGCTACTGTCTCCCTAGTCACTGCTGTGCAGGTGTGAACTTGTTACGTCAGTTCATTTGTAACTACGGTGTGAGAAAAAGTGGATGTCCCACTTGTGATTTGCACAAAAGAGCAGCGTGCAGTGATTCGTTTTTTGGTGGTATGAAGGTGTGCCTGGTACCGTTATTTATCGAAGACTTTGTATGGAGAATGTGTTTTGTCGCGCAGAAGTGTGTATGAATGGATAGAGACGTTCAAGGAAGGTCGCACAAGTGTTAGCCATCCAGAAGGAGCCGGACGCCTGTCCACGGCTGATGACAAGATTGAGCGTACACCTGAAATGATTCTGTCGAATAGACCAGTGACAGTGGACTACGTGGCAAATTATTTGCAAATCAGAAAGCAGCCCTACGAGGACGAAGATTCACCTCTGATGAAGAAGTGAAGACAGCGGTGCATTCATGGCTCGCAGCTCAGCCCAAAACATTTTTTAATGAGGGAATAAGAAAGCTTGTTGACAGATGGACAAAGTGTATTGAAAAGCAAGTAGATTATGTAAAAAAATTATGTATTTGTCTTTTCTAAAGGTTGATTAAAATAAATTCTACAGCCAGAGTGCAGACAATGAATATTCACACAATTTATAATGAGGAAATTCTAAACTCCTTTAGTACATCATCTCAAGTGGGTTTGCCCTTTTTTGAAACTAAAAAAAATGCAAAAATGTTTTACCTGGAAAATACCTCTCTGGAACTTTTGAAATATAAAACAAAAATGCAGCTGCAGCAATAATATACATCACAATGACACGGGGAGCAAATTCCTAGGGCAAGAAAAGATAGTCATTTTCTTATAATTCTTCCACCACAAGAAGTAAAATACATAATGATTTTAGATTTTTTTTTCTCATACCTGCACGATGGAAGAGCCCATGCCTCCATTAAGCAAAATCCAATGAATAGTAGGAATGATTCCATACCCAGACACGGAACAAAATATAACTGAGCGTAGTCTATGCCACTGCTGGGTAAGGTAACTGGGATGAATTTGAGCAAAAAACACTGCCAGGATCATGGCAAGCACAGTGATAAGGTACACTTGACGCCAGTACTGTAAGAGAGAAATGAATTTGGACACATAATAAACCTATGTTTTTGGTAGGATAACAAGCTGAAATCATGTACCAAATCCATCAAGTAAACAAAGGCAAAAGATAAATTATTTAAAACTCAACCACAGTTACAACATATAAGGATATAATGTACAGTAGATTCTAATAGCCATGACTTCATTTCAGTACTAAAGAGGTGAGCAGTGACATGACAAGAACTTCAATGAAAGTATCTGTGCCATTTTCGGCCGATATGTTTAGGCGGCCGATATATCGGTGCATCCCTAGTCACAAGTGTTGAAGAGCCAACGTTTCAGAACCACGCAGGGTACCTTAATCAGGGCAAACATAGCCAGGCTCTCAATTCCATCCTGTCCTGGCCCTAAAGCCTGCTAAATCAGGTAACATGTCCTTTTTATTATGAAGAGACGTCCCCACTCCCACACTTGGGTCTGAGATATTCCCCAATGTCTGGGTCCAGAGTGTCGTAACCAAGGGTTACAAGGTGAAGTTCCCCTTCTCAAACTTGCCGCTCCAAAGACAAACAAATCTTTCTGCTGCCTTAGGTTGGCTCCTTTCTCAGGGGGTCATATCCTCTGTATCTAAGGCAGAATCCAGGCATTTTACTCCAATATGTTCATTGTTCCCAATGCAAAAGGCCTGGTTTTGACAGTTTTTACCAGGTTGACATTTAGAACTCTGTGGATGCTAGCTTCGGCGGCCATCTAAATTGTGGGCCCCTTCTGTCATAATTCCCTTTTGGAGTTGGTTATTTTTTTCACGGATCTGTTAACTGTTTGTTGTGTTGCCTGCCCCTCTTTTGGACGCCTCATCCATCCAAGAATTAACCCCCATTGTCCCGTTATATAAAAAAACAGGATTTTTGAGTGGCCTGTAAAATCCGTTTCTTGGGAGTGCATTACAGAACACAGGACCATTCTGTGTTTCTGTGATTCACTCTTGTGCTGCATGCAACAAAATTGGCTGGGAGTGGGAGGGGTTATGCAGGGCTAGTCTAACAGTTTTGATAAGCTAATGTCCAAATCACCTTAAAGTGGAAGGCAATAAAATAAAAATTGCTGAGTAAGGATTTTGGGCATTATCAGGGCTTGAAAAATTTTAGGGTGTCTCGCCAGTCAGTAAAAAATTTCACCAGTCAGCATGACCGGACTATAGCCTTGCGATTTATGTTAACATTTTTTTGGGGGACACATAGAGCTTTCTTTTGGTTGTATATAATCATCACTGGGAGGGGGGGTTATTTTTTACTATATAATGAAAAAAGTACTGTAAATGTAAAAAAAAACTTCCCTTCGTTATGTTATAAAACATCTATTCTTATCCATATTTTTGGTAAAATATAAAAGACGGGGTGACGTCGGGTAAATAGACACCAAACATGTGAAGCTTTAAAATTGTGCGCGCTCGCAAAAAACAACCATACTGAAAATTGGCCATGGGCGACGCTTAAAATGCTTTTATTGCTCATCAGTTTAGTGTTATCAGTGATTGATGGCCCTAAAATTATTGCTCTCACTCCGACGTTTGCGGCGATATGTAACATGTGCAATACAATAGGCGCAATCGTCGTTTTCGCACGTAGACACATATCTGCATGTGTATGTGGTGGGGACTTAAAATTTTTTTTTTTTATTCTTTATTTTTTTTTATGGTGCTTTAATTTTTGTATAACTTTTTTTTTTTTTACAAAACTTTATAGCTATCACATAGGGGGATAAGAAATCCCCTATGTGATAGCCAATTTACATGACAGGTCCTCTTTATGGAGACATCAGGTCCCCATAATGTCACCTAGGGACCCCCAGAGAAGCTGATGAAGCAGAGATCTGCTTCACCAGCCTCTGAAGTTGGAGCGTGACAGAGGAATGCGGAAGTGATGTAACATACATCACTTCCTGCATTCGGGGACTGGAGAGAAGATCAAAGGGAGATTGTGTACTGATCTCCCTTTGATCTCCTGTCACAGAGCAGCTGTGCCGGTCCTGGCCGCATCGGGCACAGTGGATCTCGGGATCAGCACGGCAGTGACAGCTTCTCCTATACAAGCGATCGGGCGTCTCTAGAGACGCCCGATCGCTTGAATGTAAAGCTCCCGGCCGTGTAATTACAACGGCAGCCAGGGAAGCTACTCGTCGGGCTCCGTGTGGATTTTTCAAGCCCTGGGCATTATAGACATTCAGTTTCTTCTGGCTAAAAAAAAAAATTTGGCTCTCTCCCATTTTAATTTTCTATGTGAAGATGGCATGAATAGGCCAACTGCTGGAGAAGATGTAGCTCTTGTGCACATCTGCAAGAGATACATCATCAGTGGCCACACAATCATTGCAGAGGTCTTCTGGGAACCCAGAAGTGCCAGCAGACAGAGCTGAAGACTGAAGATTCCTCTGACAGTGATGGAGAAGTGCACATTTGTAAGGTAGCCATGCTCCAATGAGCAAGTATGATGTGCAAAAAAACTAACATTTACAACATGGGTTACTTCTGCTTTAAGGTAACAGCATAATCCATTCATTCAAGAATCAACTCCCTGTGTCCTGTGTTGCACTCCAAACAAATGTTACTGATAATGCAAAAATCCTGTTTTAATATACCCATGACTTTGAATTCATAGAGGATTATGGGTTTTATTTTATAAAAGAACACAGCAGCAGCTGTTCTCCTTCAGACTCTCTAAATTATACTTTGGGAGCTGAATGACCAGACTTTTTTCATTTAAGTAACTAAGGATAGCCTGGAGTGAAGTAAAAAGGACACAAGCGCCCCACCTACTGGCTGATAAAGAAAAATTCACTAAATATTAATATATATTTTATTTTATATTTACCTAACCAACAAACAAAATTGACCATTCACAGACCTGTTTTATCAACATCAAGAGCTCAATATCACCCTTGGCAGAACTTAAAAACTCAAGATCATTAATCAGAATTAAAATGGTCGTCATGCAATACTACATTACATCAGTAGGTGTTACACAAACAAATTCAGCTGCGGTACAGTGTCTGTGATGCTACACTGAAGAACTGCCAGACAACAATGGATTTATATGTTACCTGGAAATTTCCTTAAAGGCTTTAACAGTAGACAAAAGTCTTGCGAGGGTTGTAAAGTGTATGGGCACCTTCTGAGAGAGACGGATGTGGAGGGAATTTTGAACTTCTAGGCCTCTGGCCTGTAAAAGAATCTATAAAATAAAGTATGAAAAAAAGCCCTGTGACTCCTAAAAGTGCCCATACACTGCACGATTCTTGTACGAGAATCGTGCAGTGTATGGAAGGCGTGCGACCGTTTCTACAGTACGGTCGCACGTCTTCCGTCGAACCAGCATGCTAGAAAACCCGCCGGGAATCGTACGATTCTCGGCGAGTTAGTGGCCTGCTGGTTCGACAACTGCCGAACGGGCCGGTGTGCGCACGCGCACACTGCCCGTTTGCAGTCATCGCAAGCCCGCCCCTCATTGCAGTCATCGCAAGCCCGCCCCTCAGGGGGGCGGGCTTGCGATGGTCGCAAGTACGATCTGCCTGTCCAAGATGGGCAGATCGTACGTTTTTTTAAGTACTTTACAACCATCGCAAGACTAAGGTCTTGCGATGGTTGTAAAGTGTATGGCCACCTTTAGAATGCACACACATGTACATCCCCCCTGCACCTCCACATTACCACCAAAAACTCAAAATCACTTACAAAGGTGGAAATGTCATTTAAAGTCAATTTTTTTGACAAATATGATTTTCCAGACCAAAAGGATGGGCCACACACATTATTAACCCCTTCATGACTGAGCTTGTTTTTGGTTTCTGTTCGTAAATGACTGACACACTTTTGACATTTTTGCTGTGTGATTCTTCCACGTCAGTAATATACTTTCTTACAAAGTGCACCCACACATATTATATATTGTTTTTTAGAGGACAGATAGGGCTATATATTTATATCACATATGTGTGTCTAACGCCTCACTTAGCACAAATACAAATTAAAAAAAGAGGAAAAAACGTAAAAAAAACCTTTTTTTCCCAGTTTTGATTTGTAGTATTTTTTTTTAACAAAACCAGCACAGCTAAAAAAAAATGCAATACATACATTCATTTATTTGTCCCTTATTTTTAATTTTTTTACACTTTTCACTATTTTTTTTAATTTATTTACACTTTTCACTTTTTTTATACTGACAAATTTTATTTATTTAATTATATCAGGCAGTCATTGTGAATTAATCTCACTATTACTGCTTGATAAATTAATACATTTTTTTTTTTTTTCAGGCTGCTTCAAACTTCAGAACAGCCGATAATAAGTTAGTGACACTGATCCTGCAGCAGTTCAGGATTCAGCTGTCAGTGAATGTTTCAGAAAACTTAAACATTCTACTTTCAAGAATAGATACATTATGTGTCTAATACATAACATTTTGTATCTATTCTTGAAAGTCAAAAGATAAAAAAAAAAAAAAGCCAGTATAGCTTGAGAGAGATATCTCTCGATCTATACGAGCTGTCAGAATGCCGGCAAAAGCCAACATGTGTGTCTGCTTTGCTGTGACTCTCAGACACCCGATATTAAGGTATCGGGTGTCTGAAAAAGGTTAACCCTTTCACTAATGGATCTCTAGATAGTTAGACATCTATTACTGAAAGGTAACCGCTGATTCTCAGCGGTTAGCAGCCTTCTAGTGCAACAAATAACACTGTACGTGACGAGTCATTTGGTCCCTTTGTGGCTGGACGTACAGTGTACGTCTCCCGTCACGAAGGGGTTAAGACACGCTGAATGCATTCAAGAGTCTTGTCAAGAAAATTGTTAATATTAACTTATTTTCTTTATCTAAAGGAATATATAGGCTCAAGTTAAACTCATGCAGCATCCCACACATAATCGGTTTAGAAATCCAGTGACAGTCCACTGACCCACTCAAAGACTACAGTTAATGAACCCCAAATGGCTTGGTTGACATTTGCTTTCCTGGCATAAAAGACTGTTTTTGAAGTACTGCTGTGTAAGCTCTCATAGTGCAGATGCAGTTGGCAAAGCGTGTTCAAACAGGACACACAGAAGGCATGAGTTCAAATGTCCCTTCACTCATTATTTTTAATATGGAAATTCACTCATGAAAATTATGTGGACTTCAGCTCCCAACAGTGCTCATTAGCAAGATAAATAAGACTCAAGGTCTGAAGAATACAAAATAAAAACCTTGCCTGGGGCACTGGAATCCAATGTGATGGCTTAATTGATTTGAGCCAGGAAGAGAATGGTTTCCTTCACTGATCAAGTAGGAAAACTGAGAATGAATGATTACCTACATTGTTACAGTAGAAAGCATAAAACACCCCGGAGACATAGCAACCCAAAATGCCGATTGAAATGCCTGCGTAATCCAATGCCATCCATCGGCGGCTGGTTTTCTCTGAGCGGTGACAAGAAAAGAGGTGGTATCCCACTGAACATAGCATGCAGACCTAAAAAAAAAAAAAAAAAAGGATTAATTTTTTTCTATTGACAGCTGACAATGCTCGCTATGCAACAACCAAAACCATCACACGTGTAAAAGTCTTGTAGCTTTATTGTTAGTGAAAAACTGAGGCCTGCAACAAGCAGATAATAGGCTGCAAAGATTTAACTATAAATATGTACATTTATTGAAAAAAAAAAACCTCAACACAGTCCAATGAGGCGATGCAGCATTAACAATCACTGACACTCCTGCATAGTAACTAAATAAGCAGCAGCCTACGTCGGAGGAGCACGGGAGGGATGCAGCGTATGTCCAACTGCTTTTTATTTACTATGAGTTTCCCTGACATAGTCCAAACTTCTGCCTTTATCTGGAACACACTTCCTTTCCTTCTTACTATGCAGGAGGGCAAGAGGTTGTAAACACTGTACCTGTAGTGTCCAGGTATCTGCAAGAGACGTTTCTGCAAAGAGAGGGGTTTGCAACGTTGGCAGCATACTGACTGACAATTTCTGAGCTAAATCTTTCAGCGAAGGTACAAGTGCCCAACCCAAATGGGTCTAATTCATTGTTTATACCCTCAATATGCTGTCATTAGTGACAGTCACTTATAATGAAGGACATGGGAAGCAGGACTTGTGCTGGATCACACAAAATAATGTCCTTTCTGACAGCCCCCCACTCCTCTTTCTCTCAAAGAAGGTGCCAAAACCTAGTGACAGCATACAAAAAACCAGACAATGTAAACATAAAAAAGCTATAAGATTAAAGAAGAACTATGAGGCGTGTGAAACTGTCACACATCAGCTCAATAGATCGGGAAGTGAATGGACACATACCGGCGTTCGCTCAATTCTTGATCATGTCCCTGCAGAGAGCCGTGATTGTCAGTCACTGCTCCCTGCAGGGATTCCCCGCTCCGATGCTCCAGCGCTGACTGAAGGAACAAACGGGGGAGGGGCCGGGTACAGCTGGCTCTGCCTCTAGATAGGCAGAGCCAGCTGTCAATCACGCAGCTGGATGGATCTCGACAGTAAGGCCCCATTCACATTGTGCGATTTATCGCGCGGTAATTCCCGCGATATCGCGGCAAATTACCGCGCGATATCGCGCTCCAATGCAATCCAATGGGGCAAAGGGTCCTGCTGTCGCGGGTCGTGTGTCGCTACAGCAGGACCCTTTTTGGAGCGGATTTAGCCGCGATTCAAGCTTGCTCAATGCAAGCTTGAACGCGACATTGCGCGGCAAATCTCGCGATGTCGCGCAATATGCAAATCGCGCGACAAACGCGCGATTTGCATATCGCGCAGTGGGAACGGGGCCTAATGTCGGGATCCGTCCCGGCTGCGGCTGCCTCAGTTTCCCACGAGCTGTAGCTCGCGGTATACTGAGCTTTGGGTCACGGGAGGACGCTAGTTTATGTCCTCCCATGACCCTGAGGAGAACTATGGGGAAAAACACTTACCCCATAGTTCTCCTTTAAGTAAGAAAACGAATAGTAATTATTTCATGCACATACAGCAACACTGATTTCAGATTTCTAAACATGCAATTATTTAAAAAAAAACTTTATCCAAACAGAACTACAAGGCTTAGAAGCAGATAAGCCTCTGCTAACCTCACTCCCATTGTCTACAAAGGGTAGACAATGGTAGTGAGCCTGTGCTGTTCTGACATATATTATGTACCCGACCACAGAAAATATGCATCTACATTTTTATGTGATTTTTATTGCTTTGGGTAGGTCATGTGTTTATATGTGACACCATTCAAAGTCCTTAACGCACGTTATTAACAAAAAAGTACCTTATTCGTGTATCACTCGGCTGTAGATTCTCATCGCTGAATTCATGCTGACACTGTCCTTCCTTCTAGAGGGTGGCTACTTTTGTTCCCCATGGTCCCTGTGTGTGTTTTAAAGTAGCCACCGCTCCAAACTTACTCCCACGATGGATTACAATTTCATGTTTAGTTTACTCATTTGTATTGAGATTGAAGTCCATCCACGGAGCGAGCTTGAAGTGGTGGATACTTTACAACTCAGAGAGGTACCATGGGGAACACAAGTAGCCACCCTCCAGAAGGAAGGACAGTGTCAGCACCAATTCAGGATCTACAGCTGAGTGATACACAAATAAGATACATTTTTGTTAATAAAGTACTTGAATACATTTTTAAGATTTAACTGCTCAATTTAACTGCTTAACATTTTTGTTAATAGTTAAGGTACTTGAATACATGTTTAAAATTTAACTCCTGAGTTTAGTGTCACTTTAAATATATGGCATTGCAGGTCCACAGCAGCCTGAAGGTTGCAGTATTCATCTGCAGGCTAAAGGCTTATTTTGTCAATGAAGCCTCCAGCCTGCATGTGATCATTATGTCATAGTCAAGGGATAATTTAAGCCATACAAACCTGCTCTAAAGTTGAACCATACTGTAGTACTACAGCAAATGTTTTAACATATAAAAACCTAAGATCAGAACATTTATAAGCCCCAATGCCTTTCACCAAAACCCTGCCATTTTCCTTGGTCCCCTGCAAAGCTCATTGGTTCCAACTGTGTACCGTAGTGACACGCAGAGGCAGGAGCAACCACTGAGCACTGCTGGGGATCATGGTAATCAACACTCCTGGGAATGTCATGTTCTCATTGAACTTTAGAAGAGGATTTCTCTTGAACGGAGCAGCATTCTGCTTGTGAAGACAGTGCAGCAAAATGCATCTCAGAGAAAAAAACTTCTCACATTTGACCATATTGGACCATTTCTCAGTGCCCCACTTGTTAAAACTTGTTAAAACAGTTTGCTGTGAACAATGAATACTGCTGTTTTGATGTATGAAAGATGACACTGCATTTTAATACAGAACAAATGTTCCTTTATAAAGATAATGATAACCATGCCAAACATGGCAAATCAAGATATGCTACTATACATTTATTGTGAATTAATTACACCCACTTCAAAGCAAGTAAAATAGGAAACACACCCATTGCATACCCAACTATGCAATGCAGAAATATAACTTTCAAAAGTTTTATTGTTTTCTTCAAAACACAAAATCACAAAACACACCGTTACTCACAAAGGAAGGGAAAAAAGAGAAAAAAAAAGAAAACAAGGGAAAAAATAAATAGAAAAATGCAATGTTAACATCAACAGTAACAGTTTAATTTTTGGTCGGGATGGGTTAGGGTCCAAACTCTACCCTTTTCTTTTACCTCCTTCCCCCTTCTCTTTCCCTTTCCTTTCCTTTTCCCCCCCTTATGTAATTACATTATTGTAGGACTTGTATAAGCCAGCCAAAGCCCCCAGATCTGATCGAATTGTGTGACTTTATCCGCAAGAATACTTGCTAGCTTTTCATGGGTCATGATCCAAGACAGCTTATTCTTCACCTGCCTCAATGATATCCTAGTGGTTTTCCAAGCCTCGAGACTACGGGGACGGCCTCATTAAGGAGGGCATATCCGGGGTCCCTAGGAACGCTCACACCCGTGACCCGAGCTATTAAATTGAGAACCTTTCCCCAGAATCTACAAACGCAAGGACACGACCACTAGGGGCATAGTAGGAGATAATCGTAATAAGGCGATCCCCTATGCAGCCCTTCACCATCAGATAGCGTCCCTCAGGATCTTTTATTTCTAATTTCAGCCCAAACGAGACATACCTGGCAAATAGGATAGCTACCCCCTTAGATTTATCTGCCGCATTAGCAAGATAGTATTGGGTATAGTGTTTATGTATAAACGATGGATTATAACTGATTGGAAAATGCGTTTCCTGGAGACAGAGTATATCTATTTTTTGAGACAAGTAGTGGTTAAAAACCACTCGCCGTTTAACTGGCGAGTTTAAACCTTGCACATTATGTGTAGCTATGCGGATGTCATTTTCACCTGCCGCCATGACTAGATAGTTGTATCATTCCATTCGGGCCCTCGAGTAAATACTCATTTCCCCACCAAAGTCGGTGGGAAGCCCGCTTCGCTATTTCTAGAAAATTCCCACTTAACTGAGGCCTAGGGCAGTTTAAGTAGCCTATACCTCCCCGACCAAAAGAATCAATACTGCACTTCAAATAGAAAATAAAGAAAAAATTAACATACAACAAAAAAAAAAAACTAACATTTTACTTAACATACAACATTTAGGGCTTCTAGATGCCCTGTCGAAATACCTTTTAAGAGCTGCCCCTTGCGGGCAGCTCGCTTGACTCGAGCAGAGGAGCCCGCCTATGGTCGAGTCAAGTGTGGGCGCGCAGCTACCAACGGCAGCCTAACCCCACCCCGGGTATCTAGCATCCAGGGGCAAGAGAAAAGGAAAGAGAACACTCACAATTGCTCCCCCCTCAGCTCTTGCCTAACTGAACGTCTGAGTGTTTAAGGCTGCTACACCACCATCTACCCCATCCCAATAATAACTAAATAGTTATATTTACATCCTTAATAACCTTTATGATACTAATAATGATGTCTACCAAGTCCTATATAAAAGAAACTTGAATCCCTGATTAGTAAAGACTAATTTATATATGATCCGAAAGAGCTCCCCCAAAAAAATATAACAAGACAGCCAAAAATGGCATATATTTACTAATGGAATACCTTTAATAACGTGCACTATAATAAAACTTAGCATCTAGAATAGTTTTGTGATTATCCCTTAAATTCCCCTTCCCCTATATGAGGCTCGGATTATTATTACCTCCAAATTAGTACTTCCCTTATCCGAGACTTATCGTGTGTGTGAAATCCCGCAGTGTTGAAGTGAAGAGGATTTCACCCCATATTGCTGTGTTCCTTATAAATACCCCCTATCTCCCCATCGGTTAGAACCGCAGAGAGAGGGGAGAAGAAAGAGAGGGAAACCCCCCCCCCCTCGGGTGCAACACCATATAAGGATTAATTCCAATGGCGGGGATGTGGAAATGTCGTCGCCCCCTTCCCCTCTCCCCTCCTCTCTCCTCTTCTCTCTCCCCTCTTGAAAATTTTTTATATGGAAAAAGTATCAAATACCATTAAGTGATTAGTTAATTATTAATGTAATTTAACTTCAATTGATCCCACGATCTACCCTGTCCCAATAATAACTAAATAGTTATATTTACACATAACGTTTACTATACCAGTAGTAGTATCTATCAAATTTTGTAAAAGACTTGAGTCCCTGATTGATAAAAAACTGATTTATAGATGATCCAAGAAAGCTCCCCAATGACTTGCCTTATATGTATGAGTGTATCTAGATGGCCCGAAATGGCAGATATTTAGCTAGTGAAGAACCCCTAATAGCATGCGCTATAATAGCACCTAGCATACTAAAGTAATTTGTGATTATCCCTTAAAGTCCTCATTACCTATATAGGACTCAGATTATTATTACCCCCAACTTAGTACCTCCCGTGTCAGGGGCATATTGTGTTTGTGAAATCCCACAGTGTTAAGTGAAGAGAATTTCGCCCAAAATATTCCTCATAAATACCCGTCTCCCTGTCGGTTAAAACCCGCTGATAAAGCAATGCAGAAATATGATGCAATTACATCTTCATTATGTGTCAGCGCCATAGTTATTAACTTTTTGTATCTCTTGCTCCTCCCTTTCAGATTGTAAGCTCTTACAAGCAATCCTTACCTAACCTTCTTGTCTTGATTTGTATTGTAACTGTACTGTCTCCCTTTATATTGCAAAGCGCGGTGCAAACTCTTGGCACTATATAAATAACAATGTGACTTATCTAGTAGATAATGAATACGTTTACCTGAAAGCAGAATAAGCAGACAGAGCAGATCACAAAGTCTTCCCTGGAAGCATTCACAGACGGCAAAACAGACATCATGTCATAAATACCTAAACTAAAAAATAGTAGGAAGCCTAGCAGGTGACTCCAGATGTTCACAGTTTCATTGGACAAGATGAAAAGGCTGGAGAAGAATTACAAAAATGGTGAAACCAGCACGGTAAATACAGTACCATAAAGATAACATACAAAAAAACTCCAAAGAGCAGACATAAGTGCCAGTCACTATTCAGGTAAATTAAGTTTGTGTAAAGAAATATGATTACTGATCGGTGACTGCTACTGTTATTTAGACCTTCAGAACTGAACAAGAAAACACCTGACAACCTAATTAGTATGTAACCTTAAAGTATATCTAAATCAAGAACACAAATGTAATATATAAGTGTACGGCATAAACCTAATATATAAATAATAGAAATATATTATACTGCAGCTTTGCAGTCTTTAGACATGGTGACCGCATTCATTTTTTTAGTATAAATGAAGTATATTTTCTACAAGTATAAAAAAAGAAACTGATGCAGCCATGACATCTAAGACTAGTAAGTTGCAACATACCCAATTTTGTTTTGGGTTTAGATATACTTTACCCATCCTTTTCATACTGCTTTAATACGTTGTAAACTATGAGTGGTTGGATACTGTACCATTCTTTAAAGGAGAACTATGAGATGAGTGATTTCCACTCATCCTCGTAGTTAGAGCCGACCTGTGACAATGAAACTGTCACAGGTCGGCTCTATTGATCGGGAAGTGAGCAGAAACATGCACCGATCTGCTCACTTCTCGATCGTCTCACCGCAGTGAGCGGTAACTGTCAGTCACGGCTCCCCGCAGGGATTTCCCCCTCCGCTCCTCCATCGCTGAGTGAAGAAATGAACGGGGAGGGGGCGGGCACAGCTGGCTCTGCCTCTAGATAGGCAGAGCCAGCTGTCACTCACGCAGCTGGGTGGATCTCGACAGTATTGTCAGGATCCGTCCCAGCTGTGGCGCTCTCAGTATATCGCGGGCAACAGAATGTGATATACTGAGCTTTGGGTCTCAGGAGGAGGTTAGTATAAGTCCTCCCGTGACCCTAAAGAGAACTATGGGGAAAAACACTTACCTCATAGTTCTCTTTTAACATTCTAGTAATTTGTTGAAAGATAGTGAACTTTGGGAGGAAAGTAGAAGAAAATCTTCCCTTCCTTACTGTCACTCAATTAGTACTTTGTAGCAAGCCACGAGGTGAGAGGAGGCAAAAGGGCCTGATCAGATCAGGTTTTATTGTGTCATCTATAAACTAGCATCTTAATCCCTACAAGTAGATGCTGGTCGTTGATGATTGCTGAAAAAAGACTTCACCAGTGGCTGTGTCTACAGTAGTATTGTGATCTGTATGAAAGAAAATGCATACCTGTAAATATTTTACATTACTTAGCATGCAAGATCTTGGCAGGAAAACATAATTGATGGTAGGTTTGTTTTAATTACAAATAAATCTAGACATAATATCCGAGGCACTTGAAAAACATTGAGAAAATCAAAATATGCTAGATTTGCAAAGATTAACCTAAAATGATGGCCCTATTTTAAACCAACCAATAGGTACAATGTTAATATCTGCAAAATACTTTTTTTTACATTTTTATTAAAGCTGAACTTAACACAAACAGCAAAATACACATTTGAAATACACACAGGGGGGAATTTATCAAAACTGGAGTGGTTGCCCATAGTAACCAATCAGCTTCTATCTTCAGTTTGTTCAGTTAAGATATGAAAGTGAAACATAGAGACCGATTGGTTGCCACGCACAGCTGCTCTACTTTTGATAAATCCCCCTAACTGTATATAAGTACTGTTTCAACTGCTAATGATTCAGAATTCAATGCAGCTACTGTTGTGATCCAGACAATACAGCCAGGTCCAGAATCTCCACCACAGATCCCATCGAGTTATGCTGTAGGCACTACAGTAGGCTGAATACATTATTCATTAATTGGTGCTTTTTGCATACTTGCATAAAGTTCAGCTTTAAATGTTCTTCATTTGCATTACCGTGCAAGTCTATGGGAATGCAAAACATGCTTGAAACAGGTTACATGCACCTGTCAATGAATTCCCAACCCCTTAGTGACACAGCTTCAGACATTTTTTTTAGTTCCTAGGGACTGGAGCAATTTTGACATTTTTGCTATGTGTTTGTTTACCCATCTTCCTCATGCATTGCACCTACACATATTATATACTGTTTTGTAAAGGACAAAATGAGCTTTAATTTGATATGACACATTTTATTTTTTGGGGAGTTATAGGCCACAAATTACAAGGAGTGAAATACAATTTTAGAATGTGGTAAGTTTATCTCCTATCTTTTATAGCCTCCTCGGCACTATATTTTCTTAGAATTTATTAGACCTATTTTTTTTTTACTTCTTAGAACATTTTTTACACATTTTAAAAACTTTATTTTAATTTTTTTAAACTGGGGGGCACAAAGGGGTTATTTTTCTTAATTTACAGGTGTTTTGATACTTAGTATCTCAGAGGAGAATACAGTATTCTCCTCAGAGATACTTTGTATCAGTTTGTAACACATTGAGCCGGCTTGCAGCTCCACAACACAGTGAGCTGCAAGCCGGATCAGTAGCTGTCACAGTGCTGTGATCACTGCAATTAGCTATTGCAGTGATCACAGGGCTGAGACCACCTAAACTGATGCCATCAACACAATTCCACCAACATAAGCCCAATGCCCATCTACACAGGCCCTTACTGTGACAAAGGGATATGCCACCCCCTAAGCAGTCTGTTTATTGATCTATAAGGACTCTGCCAAACTACCAACTTTGTAGCAAAGTTAGTCATCAGCTACAAATGGTGGTTTGTTATGGAGTTCCGGCTGTAATCGACTACAATGTTTGTCTATGCAGATGATGTGACATGATCATCGGCAGTTGCACTGGATAACATGAATAGCTATTAAAGTTGGTGAATGCTACAACTTAAATATGGGTTCAACATTAAACATGGTCCAAAAGGTTGACTTAGCCTTTTACTACTGACTGTTTATTATGCTGTTATGATTTATCTTACCTTTTCAGGCATAAGCGGGACGGCAGATACGCTCTATATCCATCAGTAATGTATGGATTATCTTTAAGGAAAACAGGAATCTGCTCATAGGTATACAGTCTAATTCCCCTGGGAACAAGAACTGGCCAGTACTGGTAACTACCCAGCTCAATGTAGTGGGAACTCTTTAGCAGCTTCTGGTGCATGGTGGCAGGTATTTCTCTGAGACCTGAAACATACATGAACAATTATAAACAGATGATTATTTACAAATATGATTACACATAATTGGTGTGCAGGTCAATGCTTCGATTTCTTGGCTTTTCTCTAGCACAGTGGTATAAATAGGTAGGAATCACTTCTCAATCTGCTTCAATCACTTATCAAATCACTTACAATGGATGCTGCTCCTTGATGTTTGAAAGTTTTAGTTTCCTGCAGAATCAGCTAGTAATCTGCTAGTAAACTGCTTGTGTCTCCACAAACACACAGCAAGGCAATTCCTGCTTTCTGCTCCCCTCTCCTCCTTACTCCCCTCTTCCTTTTCCAAGCTAGTAGATGGATGGCTGCTGGAGACTGTGCTGTCCCGTGTGATCTTGTACTCAACAGGAAGTTCAGGGAAGTGGAGCTGAGAGAGTTAAAGCCAGCTGGTTGGAAACATGATAACTTAAATTGTTTGGGCAAAAATATAAAGAAATACTTTCTTGGGCAATGTATATTTGTTTGATCTGGATTCATTATTGAAGAAAAGCTTGAGAGTTTAATACAACTTTAAATAGGATCTTCACCTTAAACGTATCTCTCAGACTTTAGAGGTTTTTTTGATATCTTTTGAAGACTTCAGTCTGCTTACTAAGCTTTCCCTTGCAGCCATTAGAAAGGTATGTGTGTTAGGTTTCCCTTTTCATGATGTTTCTCTGTAAAGTACAGTGAATTAGCCAAGAATGTTTTAGCCTGCATTCAACCTTTTGCACTTGCGATACTGCATTCGAATCTGAATTTTAATGCGCACATTAACACACTATATATGTACATTGCCATCCATTCTCAAAGGAGAAGTATCGAGACAGTAAAACCTGCTCTTCCAAACACTAAGGGCTCAGTCACACTAGATGCAGTTTTGGCAGGAACGCACTGCCTCGCATTGCAGCCGGCTCACTTTTTAGTGGGGCAGGAGGGGGCGTGGCGGGCCATTCAAGTGAATGGTGCCGTAGCCACGCCCTCCGGCCGCAATGCGGTACGCCGCACGGGTTTTGCAAGGTACATTGTGTCTGCAGTTCGGTCCTGTGCGATCGAAATAGTGCTTGTAGCATTTTGATGGAACCGCACAGGATCGGACCGCAGGCACAAGGTGCCTTGCGATCCTTTGCGGCGGATCACATTGCGGCCGTAGGGCGTGGCTGCGGCCCCATTCACTTGAATGGCCCGCCACGCCCCCTCCTTCTCCACTAAAAAGTGAGCCGGCTGCAGTGCGAGGCAGTGCGTTCCGGCCAAAATCGTGACGGAACACTCTGCATCTTGTGTGACTGAGCCCTTAGAGCCATAGTGGGACCCTGCAAATGTGACACACCAGCTCTAAGACCGAGAACTGATTGGTCATGTGACTGCTGATCAGTCAGCTCTCTGTATCTGCTCTTATGAAGAGCAGTGACAGTCAAGCATTGCCTTCCTGGGGAATACCTTCCCCCCCTTCTCTGTGCCCCCAGAGCTGGCTGGAGCTACAGGCTGGGGAAGGGGTGGACATGTCTGGCTCTTAGCCGTGAGCTGAAAGGCAGCTGTCAGTTAGCTAAAAAAGCTAAAAGCTGACTTTGGGTCGCATGAGTACATTAGTAAATGTTCTCCTGTGACCAAAAAGAGAAGTAAAAAGGTTTGCCTTTACTTTTCAGGGTGAACTCCAATGCATATATACAGTAAAAACAACAGAGCTGTACTACAATGCACCACAACATACAGCTTTAAATGTTTCATGCCTTGTGGTACACTGTGTTGCCAAGAATAGTGCAGGTATGTGGAGGCAAAAAATGCTCAAAATAATTGGGATGTCTAAATAATATTAAATAAGCTTTTAAAGATAAAGAAAATCATAGGTGAGGAGATCATTCTTTATACAAGTCTTCACAGAGAAAAAAAATCTCTTATCGCCCCATGTTTTTGCAAATGAAACCAGGTGGAAACAATAGTAATAAAAAAATATATTCAAACTAAATATTTTCTTTGAGCTCAGCATGCCTTGGCTATCTGCTAATGTCCATGCATGAGATGCACTGGCTACAGGTGGGCAGAAATCTCGGAGTAGGATTAGCAACAAATCAAATGAAATTTCAGATAAATACCACATTATGGCCATTTAATTTATTGAGTTTAGGATAAGAAAGTATTGACTCACAAAGGCTTGTGAACAAGGTGGCTGGAACTAAATGGAGTTGAAACATTGGCATTGTGCTTCTTTTTGGGATACCTTGAGTGCTGAGTTTGTTTTTGGAATATGTGCTCTTTCTGTTTGTTTTTTAACTCTATCAGTATTTAAAACCACATTGTTTTCCTTTTCTGTTAGGCTGGGTTCACACCTAGGCGTATTGAATATGCGCGTTTGTCGCGCGTTTTTACAGCGATTCGCGGTACAAAAAACGCGCGACAAAAGAGTGTTTCCGTGGGCTACTTGGCTGTATCCCAATGGAAACGCGAGACCAAAACGCCCCAAAGTAGTACATGTACTTCTTTGGGCGTAGGTCGTTTTGTAGCGCGTTCAGACGGGCTGAAATACGCCCAGGTGTGAACCATACCCAAAGGAAATAATGGGATTTCTGTGTTTGAGCGTTTTGCAGAGCGTTCGAACGTGCTACAAAACGCCCAGGTGTGAACCAGGCCTTACTTTTTTTCCCACTCTTTGGTTTGCAGTTCTCTGATTAAGGGGAGGGGTTATTTGATTACAGCTGTATGTTATTAATCAGGTGTGATATAAGCAACTGCACAACTCACATTGAGCTTGCTCACAGAGGCTTGTGCACAAAGTGGCTGCACCTAAATGGAGTTTAACCTGTAAGTAACATCTTAAACTTCCTGTAAGTACTATACAGTAAATATTGTAACAGGGATATTGCATGCTAGTATGGTTGAAGGGCTTGATCAGTGCACACTGTGTCACAGCTTTATAGTAAAAAAACACTATGGCAGATGTCAGTAAATTGCACTCCTGGAAGCTCATATTAGAGATCTGGAAGAGTGAATTGAATCACTGAGGAGACTTGACAACCTTAAGAGGAGTCTACTGCTCACTAAGCATACAGTTAATGGTGTTGATGTGGAGGGATTATAGGGATGCTAAAAGGATGATCAGGTAAGAAGCTGGGTTACTGTAGCCAGAGGGAATGACTGGAGCTCACAAAAAAGGAAGGCCAGCCCTGTGTTTGAGCACCCAAACAAATTTGCTAAGTTGGGTGAAGATGTGAGGGTGGCAAACCCATACTTGGCAGCCCTAGATATCACTGCTACACCATAAGTCCATCTAGTCTGGGTGGTAAGGGTAATGCGGGAAGGCCTAGGCAAGTGGTGGTAATAGGGCATTCTATAATCTGGTGGATTGATTAAATCGTTTGTCACCCAGATCGCCTCAAACTAATGGTTTGCTGTCTCCCATGTGGTGGACCGGGTACACAAGTTACTGGGATGGGCTGGGCATGACCAAAGCTGTCTTGGTCCATGTTGGGACCAATGGCAGAATTCATGGAAGATATGGTGTAGAAACAAACAAAATTAGGGTGAACAAAGCCCCTGGACTAGATAACTTGCACGCATCCTCAAAGAATTTAGCTCCATTATTTTGAAGCCATTGCATCTAATTTTTAGAGACTATTGACTGGCTTGGTAACAATGAATTGGCACCAGGCCAATGTGATACCTATATTTAACCTCCCTGGGGGTCTGATAATCGTAGTATTTTTTTTTCTTACTTTTGATCAACGTCTTTACTAGAGCTGCAACAGTTAATCGATTTAGTCAATTAAAATCGACGATTGAAAACGTTGGCAACGTTTTCGATCTACAAATCCCAGCAATAATACATTATATACAGCGCAATGCAGAATAACGCCAGCTACAGAGGACTACAAATCCCAGCAATAGTACATTATAGTATAATGTACTATTGCTACATTCCTCTATAGCTGCTGGTATTCTGCACTGCGCCGCTGTATAATGTACTATATTGCACACCACACTTTTTTTTTACTTCCACCGTGCCAAGCTTGCTCCTGTGACGGACTACAATCTCAATTCAAACTAGTAGTCCATCACTGGAGCCTTTTTTTTTTTTCTTTTTTATCCGATTAACCGATTAATCGAACTTAATAATCGGCCAACTAATCGATTATGAAAATAATAGCTGCAGCCCTAGTCTTTACTATGCACTTATAGACCTGCAAGCTTAACTTCCATAGTTGAGAAGATACTTGAAAGGTTGCTAAAGTATCACAGACATGTTTTTGCTAGGAAATATTATTGGAAGCGATAGCATGGGTTCACCAAAGACAGACATTGTCAAACAAATCTACTTTTTTATGAGGAAGTGAGTAAATTTGTATGAGGAAGTGGGAGGAATGGCTGTGGACAAAGTATACCCGGACTTTGCAAAAGTTTTTGACACCGTTCTCCATAATTTGCTAATGTGTAAAGCTGTAAATACACTGCTCTGTTTTTATTGTTCAACACGTGCTGTATGAAAAAAAATAGAGCCGATTCCTCAACGCTACAAGTGCGTTGATCAAGAAATCCCGGCTGTTTCCTTTGCATTATGACAGCAACCACCAAATTTCTCATAAAAAATGCATTCAAATGAATTTCACTACACATAAGTACAATATAATACCCATTTTTAGGTAAATTATAAAAGATAGGGTTGTATAAAGTATAGAGATACTAAGCATGTAAAGCCTTAAAACTGTAAGTACCCGAGGAACAGCGACAAACTTTGGAACCCAAAATGTCCCATGGTTCTCTTTTAGGGTCATGGGAGGACATATAGTAACCTCCTCCCGTGACCCAAAACTCAGTACATAGCGGGCTACTGCCTGCTATGTGCTGAGAGCACCACAGCCGGGATGGATCCCGACAATACACTCGAGATCCACCCAGCTAGCTGATTGACAGCCGGCTCTGCCTCTAGATAGCTACACCCGCCCTGTCCACACTCTGCAGGGAGATGATCAGGAAGTAAGCGGATTGGCGGTATGTTTTTGCTCACTTCCTGATCAATAGAGCCGACATGTGAACGTTTCAATATCACATGTCAGCTTTAACTATGGGGAGGAGTGTAATTCGCTCACCTCATAGTTCTCACTTTAAACCCTTTACAGGTCAGCAGTTTAGTTAATCATGGATAATTGCCCTAGAATTACAGATGTTAGTTCACAGCAATATGTAACGTGTAGTGTAATTGTCATTCTTTCACGTAAGCAAACCCAAAACATCTTAGGAACGTAAGTGTGTGTACATTATAGTGTAAAGCGCTGCGCAAACTGTTGGTGCTATATAAATCCTGTATAATAATAATAATAATACATAGGGGCTTTAAAACTTTTTTTTTTACACTTTATTTTGATTAAACTTTTTGTTAACTCAACTTATTGCTATGGCGTAGGGGGCTCATAGCCCGTGTGATTGCACATTATATCTGACAGCAGGTTCTCTTTAACCACTTGAAGACCAGGTGTTAAACCCCCTTCCTGGCCAGGCCATTTTTCAGTATTCAACGCTATGGTACTTTAACATTCATTCAGTCATGCAACGCTGTACTGAAATTAATTTTATCTGATTTTTTGGGGACACATAGAGCTTTTTTTTGGGGGTATTTAATCCCCCCTGGGGGGGGGGGTTATTTTTTACTACATAACAAAAAAAAGGAGCAAACATTTTGATTTATGGCCCTAGAATTACTGCTCGCACTCCAATATTCACGCTGAATGTAATGTGTGGCGCAATTGGCATTTTTGCATGTACTTGGGGAGGGGGGGCCACTTTAAAGACAAAAAAAACTTTTAAAAAAAAAAATCTTTAAGTAATTTTTTTAACTTTTTTTTTCTTTACACTTAACTTTATTGCTATCACATAGGGGGCTCATAAGCCCCTTATGTGATCGCACAGATAAAGTGACAGGTCCTCTTTATGGAGATATCAGGTGTCTATTAGACCCGTAATGTCATCTAGGGACCCCAAAAAAGCTGATGAAGCACAGATGCTGCTTCACCAGCTTCTTCTCCGACTGCAGCTGCCAGAGAAATGACACACTGAAACCGGAAGTAATGTAATATACTAGTGATGAACCGATACCAAGTATAAATACCAGTGCCCCAATTATCAGGAAGCTGGTGGCAGATCATGACCCGCTGCCCAGCTTCATGATTGCTTGGGAAGCCAGTGATCTATCGAAAGACTAATCAGAAACCCGGGCGGGTCATGAGGTGCAGTCCGGCATCCTGATTAGTCAGGAAGCCAGGCTGCCTAGCAACAAGTAAAGCCGGCTTCCTAGCCAATCAGGAAGTCGGGCGGCATGTCATGACCTGCCTGCCGGTTTCCTTTATTGCTTGGAAGCCGTCTTCACTTGTTGCTAAGCAGCCTGGCTTCCTGACCAATCGGGAAGCCAAGTCATGACGTGCTGGCCGGCTTCCTGATTGGTTGGGAAGCCAGGCTGCCTACCAACTAGTGAAGCTGGCATGTCATGACCCGGCTCCCTGATTGGCTAGGAAGCCGGCTTCACTTGCTGCTAGGCAGCCTGGCTTCCCGACCAACCAGGATGCCAGGAGGCAGGTCATTATGTGCCGCCCAGCCTCCTGATTGGTTAGGATGCCAGGCTGCCTAGTAACAAATGAAGCTGGCTTCCTAGCCAATCAGGAAGCCGGGTCATAACCCACCACTCAGCTTTTTGATTGGAAAGGAAGTCGACTTCATGCTCCCTCGGCACTGCCGGTCAGGGGGAGATCTACCTCTGACTGGAATTTCTGGTATCGGAGTACTCGCCCAAATAGTAGGTATCGGCACAACCCTATAATATACATCACATCTGCTTTCAGTGATCAGAGGAGAGATTAGCCCCTGCATCAAATTCCAATATTAACAATCACTTACAAAGCCATCCACTACTCTGCCCCCAGCTATATCTCAAACCTGGTCTCATATCACCCTAACCATCCCCTCCGCTCTTCAAAAGACCTCCTGCTTTCCAGCTCCCTCACCAATTCCTTCCATGCTCGCCTCCAGGACTTCACTAGAGTCTCTCCCACCCTCTTGAACTCTTTACCCCAACCTGTCCGTCTGTCTCCCACTCTGACTGCCTTTAGGCGATTCCTTAAGACTCATCTCTTCAGGGAAGCCTATCCCACCTCAACCTAACCACTGAACCATAACTTTCTCAAACAAGCCATCCCCACACAGCTACCTCCTCATTTATCACTTGCCCCTCCCTTTTAGATTGTAAGCCCTCACGGGCAGTGTTCTCCTTAACATCTTGTCTTGAATTGTATTGTAATGTCTGCCTTATATTGTTAAGCGCTGCGTAAACTGTTGGCGCTATATAAATCATTTATCATAAAATTATATATATATATATATATATATATATAAATAATAAAACATTTGTGCTGATCTCCCTCCGATCCAGGTACAGAGAGCCACAGTACCAATCCCAGGTCTATACCAGGGACAGCAGCAGAGTGGGGTTTGCTCACACTTCCCCAGCACTGTGGCTCTATAGCGGCCCAAATGCTTGTCTGTAACATCCGTCGCCGGCTGTTTAAAATGTTCCAACTTTCCTGCTCCTGAGCAGGATCAGAAAAGTACGCTTATAAAGGCACACCCCCCATCAAAAGTGAGCCGTCCAGCCATTTAATCACAGTGAGCAAATGGTTAAGGAGACTTTTAAGGTCTATTAGACCCCTAATGACGCCTATCTGCTCCTTTTTTTTTTTTGAGAACTTTATTGAAATGTCATGAGCGACATTTCATCGAGTTCTATCAGCACAGCGCAAGTTGATGCCGTTATACCATGTTGCACTGCAAAATAGTACAGCACGCCATACTTCTTTTTTCAGCATACATAATCACAATGGGGTGGTGAGAACTGGGTCCATTTACAAGGCTACCTGCCTTTCTATGTTAGGACTGTGCTAGAATAAGCAACCAGCACAGCCCCAATACTTCTGCTGTGAATGGGCCCTTCTTTAAATACATGCATCAGATGAAACTAAGGACCAGGTAAGAGCTACAGACAGAGGTTCTATGGGAATGGACTGTATACGCAGCCATATAAAAACACGGAAACTCTTTTAGGATCACGTGACAGCCCTGAACGGGGAAGGATCTGTCTGCAGTAACACAAAGCAAGGATGGATGGATACTTCCTAGTGTTTCATGGACATAACCGTACAGGCGTGTGCAGCTATTGTCCTCTGTCAAGGAGCCTGCAATGTAAGCCCGCCCGTATCCGAGCCTTGTCCCGTTCTGCTGTCACCCTCTACTCACACTACACCCCGCTCACCTATATCTCTATATGCAACGCTGACCCATCCGAGCCCGGCTAGCTTGGCAGACGCGCCGTCCTCCCGTGTGACGTCATCACGCTGCTATGAATGGGGAGGGGCTACCGGTGTCTATGCGATGATTGTGTGTGTGTATAGAGTACTTGAGACACATGATTCACTGAAGAAGTATATGTAGCTGCTTTACAAGTTTGCATTCACACAGGTTGCAGACTTTACTGCCCCTCAGCGTGATTCGCCACAGTACATTTATTTTCTGACTGGTGTTCAGGCTGCCAGGCACCTCCTCAGTGCCTGGGGTTTTCAACAATCCCAAGGGGGGGTTCATTAAATACTGCACAGCAACCACAGTTGGAGCGCAACCCCATTGACCTAAACGAGCATGTTTGGCGTGACAAGCCAAGTTAAATTTGTCACACCGCAAAGCATGGCAGCTGCAGCAATATACCGTGTTGCTCAAAAAAACAGTGGGTAGGTCTTATGTTTTAGCAATTCCCAAAAATAGTACTAGGTCTTATTTTCGGGGTAGGTCTTATTTTCGGGGAAACAGAGCTGAGCAGCCGCCATGTTACTTTGTAGGTAGGAGGATGTTAAAAATGCATATCAACCACCTGCTTTTTTGCGCCAAAGCAAAGCTTCCAGCATGACCTCTTTTGAACCAAATCCCTCTGCAGAGGCATATCTACAGAAAATAGTGCCCTATGGCAAGATCTGAAATTGCACCCCTTACCAAAAATGGACACCCATAACTTTACAATAATATCAACTCAAAAATGCAAGTCAAACTCTCATCCACTTACGTCAGAGTTCCCAGACACTGTAAGGGGAGGACTCTGAAACGGGTGACACAGAGTACTAGGGTTCAGAGGTCAGGAGTATGTAACAGTTCAGCAGGAAATAAGGTAGAGGTCGGGAGTATGTAATACACAGTTCAGCGGTAAATAATGCAGAGGTCAGGAGTATGGGACGCTCTTGGACTTTCCAGCAGGACAATGACACTAAGCACAAGGCCAAGTTCACCCTCCAGTGGTTACAGCAGAAAAAGGTGAAGGTTCTGAAGTGGCCATCACAGTCTCCTGATCTTAATATCGACTCACTCTGGGGAGATCTCAAAGGTGCAGTTCATGCAAGATGACCAAAGACTTTACATGACCTAGAGGCATTTTGCCAAGACGAATGGTAGCTATCCCACCTGCAAGAATTCCGGGGCCTCATAGAGAACTATTACAAAAGACTGCATGCTGTCATCGATGCTAAAGGGGCAATACACAGTATTAAGAACTAAGGGTATGCCGACTTTTGAACAGAGGTCATTTCATTTTTTTATTTGTTGCCATGTTTTGTTTTATGATTGTACCATTCTGTTCTGACCTACAGATCTCAATATGAATCCCTTAAGAAATAAAAGAAATGTGTTTTGCCTGCTCACTCATGTTTTCTTTAAAAATGGTACATGTATTACCAATTCTCCAAGGGTATGCAAACCTTTGAGCACAATTGTATACAATATACAGTATCTCACAGGAGTAAGTACACCCCTCACATTTTTGTAAATATTTTATTATATCATTTCATGTGACGACACAGAAGAAATTACACTTTGCTACTATGTAAAGTAGTGAGTGTACAGCTTGTATATCAGTGTACATTTGCTGTCCCATCAAAATAACTCAACACACAGCCATTAATGTCTAAACTGCTGGCAACAAAAGTGAGTACACCCCTAAGTGAAAATGTCTAAAGTGTCAATATTTTGTGTGGCCACCATTATTTTCCAGCACTGCCTTAACCCTCTTGGGCATGGAGTTCACCAGAGGTTCACAGGTTGCCACTGGAGTCCTCTTCCACTTCTCCATGACGACATCACGGAACTGGTGAATGTTAGAGACCTTGCGCTCCTCCCTCCACCTTCCGTTTGAGGATGCCCCACAGATGCTCAATAGGGTTTAGGTCCGGAGACATGGTTGGCCAGTCCATCACCTTTACCCTCAGCTTCTTTAGCAAAACAGTGGTCGTCTTGGAGGTGTGTTTGGAGTGGTTATCATGCTGGAATACTGCCATGCGGCCCAGTCCATGGAGGGAGGGGATCATGCTCTGCTTCAGTATGTCGCAGTACATGTTGGCATTCATGGTTCCCTCAATGAACTGTAGTTCCCCAGTGCCGGCAGCACTCATGCAGCCCCAGATCATGACACTCCCACCACCATGCTTGACTGTAGGCAAGACATACTTGTCTTTGTAGTCCTCACCTGGTTGCCGCCACACACGCTTGCACCATCTGAACCAAATAAGTCTTGGTCTCATCAGACCACAGGACATGTTTCCAGTAATCCATGTCCTTAGTCTGCTTGTCTTCAGCAAACTGTTTGCGGGATTTCTTGTGCATCATCTTTAGAAGAGGCTTCCTTCTGGAACGACAGCCATGAAGACCAATTTGATGCAGTGTGCGGCTTATGGTCTGAGCACTGACAGGCTGACCCCCTCCCACCCCTTCAACTTCTGCAGCAATGCTGGCAGCACTCGTACGTCTATTTCCCAAAGACAACCTCTGGATATGATGCTGAGCACGTGCACTCAACTTCTTTGGTCGACCATGGCGAGTCATGTTCTGAGTGGAACCTGTCCTGTTAAACCGCTGTATGGTCTTGGCCACCGTGCTGCCGCTCAGTTTCAGGGTCTTGATACTCTCTGTACCCGTTCCTTTAGCCAGTTCTCTATCCATGTACACACCCTTCCATCTATGCCCATAGACCGCAGCTTGTATAGTAAGCGTTTGTGTGGTACCGTATCAAAAGCCTTTGAGAAATCCAGATATACCACATACACCGCCCTCCCTCCATCCAGATCTCTACTTACCCCCTCGTAGAAAGTCAGTAGGTTAGTCTGACAGGAACGATTCCTAAACCCATGCTGATTGTCATTAACTATACCATTTATCCTGAACAAATTCTACCAAGTAGTGTTAATTTGTGAAATGTCACGTCGTCCTCAAAAGCTAATGCTTCGGGAACTCGCAGGGACCCTTCATCAGAGTCACATAGTGATGAATGTCGCTCTGATGAAGTGTCCCTGCAAGGTCCCGAAACATTTGCTTCTGATGACATGACGATACATTTCACAAGTGAACAGATCAACGAAATATTGATATCGGAACTTTTCTTTGCGTTTGCTGGTGAACCACTGTGATTACTCTGATTCTGGACAATGACTTCAAACTTTGCAATATTATAGGTGGGAATCCTCTTATTCTTAGGTACCCCTCAATGTCCGTTCCCTATACACTTCCACCCCCCATACAGTTGTTGTCAAAGCTCTTAAAGTTGAACTCCAGGAACAAAAAAATAATTAAAATAGCCTAATAGCTGCAAAATATATAAATCCACTTTTTTTCCCCCAAACCCTAATATTACCTTGTACAGAAGCAGTGACATTATTGTGCTTTACATAGGCTTTGCAGAAATCAGAGCTGTGGGAGGGACCCAGCAGACCGACCAGACCCACCCACTACAGGCTGCCTGCAGAACACTACAGGAGGGGTTGGAGACAAGACCAGTCTCCCTATACAACAACAGAGCAGCAGTGACTGGACTTTATTACAGGAATCTGCTGCACACCGGCACAGTTTTACTCTGGATTACTGCACAGATCAGGAAGAAATACATAAAGTGCATCAAGATTCAAATAAGAGTATTCTGTTGTATTTATATGATATCTGCTTATCTCGGAGTTTAGCTTTAATCACTTTCTAATATATCTGTTGGACATCACTTTCAAACAAGCTTCGTTTATATTAGAATGTACTCAATTTTCTTTAGAGCATAATTATATTTTTTCCAATAGACCCGCAGCACGTCAATGGGTGCAAATTATGCACCCAGCCACTTTAATTATAGATACTAGAAGGAGATGTATATTTGTAATAACAACACCTATGCCTCCTTATTATGGGTGTTATATACAGTTGTGTGAAAAAGTGTTGGCCCTCTTCCTGATTTTTCATTGTTTTGCACGTTTGTCACACTTTAATGTTTCAGATCATCAAACAAATTTAAATATTAGTCAAAGATAATACCAGTAAACACAACATGCAGTGTTTAAAGGAAGGTTTTTATTATTAAGGGAAAACAAAATCCAAACCCACATGGCCTTGTGTGAAAAAGTGTTTGCCCCCCTGTTAAAACATAACTTAACTCTGGTTTATCACACCTATATAGATTTTTCTCTCTCCAGGATTGCCACCAAAAGACACAGACTCCTTAGACACAGGTTTTTCCAAGATGGTGCCCAGAGCACAAAGTAGCGGACAAAAGTGGTGGGGACATCTAGTGGAAAGAGAGGGAACTACAAGCCTAACACCCTGTTGAATGTTGCAGTCAGGGCGCTGCACTCCCTCAGTCTCCCATCCCTCAGTGATCACTCTGACTGTAGCCATAAATGCTTCTGAAAATAGCCTACTGCTTACAGAGTTAGGACCTGCAGCCTAGGGTATAGCTACAAGGAAAAGAGTACAACATCTGCTCCTGTGCTACATTTATACATAAAACATAGGGAGTTTTATAATTTGTTCAGCACTTATGTGGGACCTCTTCCCAAAACCTCAACCACTTATGCCATGTGAAGACTGTCACTTGCCAGACAGTATTGATCTCATACATACAAGTATTTAGGCACTGCATGGCTGCTTCTATAACCTGGTGTCCTATATTTTTGCAATGATATAACACTGGTTTAGGATCAATTCAGGGCAACGTCATTCACCACAATAGCAGTTTATATTTCCTTTTGATCCTCTGCAGTTCCATTCATTGCCAAGAGCAAGGAGAAGAAACCCTGAGCAAGTTAAACTGTAATGTCTTCCTTATATTGTAAAGCGCTGCGCAAACTGTTGGCGCTATATAAATACTATGTAATAATAATAATAATAAGATGTTTTCTCCACCCTTGTATGACACTGCCATGCACCTGAGCAGCTAATCCATAAGGACTAGCATGTGGGAGAAAAAAGTGGGAGTCACATGCTACCTTATACCCAGAAGTATCCAGTATTTCTCT